CTTTCTGGGCTTCGACTTGCATGGAACTGACTCGGTCCGAGTCAGGAACTGACTCGGTCCGAGTCAGAAGGCTGAAAACGTTCTGACACTCTGATTTGATCCGAAAACGATTTTTCCGACCAAATCCAAGTCTTCCTTTCCGAAACTTCACATATAAGTCCATCCCTAATGGTGTGTGACCCTGTAGGCCCATTCGCAGTGGCAGCAGCCTCGAGAACCATTCCCGATCTATAAGTCATGGTTAGCCTCTAGCAAGACGCCATGACCACCCATTTAGAATTGAGTTAGAGGTGATCTAACCAAGGCAATAACAGCTCGAGTTCTGATCCTTTATCTCACGATATCATGTGTTGAACAAGGGCATGGTTTGAGCCACCCTTCAAGTTCAACCGCTTTCTCGTCTTGGCAAATCGACTAATAAAATAGATGCAACTTCATCTATAGCGTGGCCACGCATTTTCATAGTCCGACTTCCACGAGAGGGCCCAGCGATATCTCTCCTATTGAGGAGGTGATAAGTCCCATATTGCATGTCTATTATCTCCATATGATTTGTGAACGTATCTGATCAACGCCGTTATGATCATCCGGTTAAAGACGACGTTTGACGCAGTCAAGACACGCCACTCCTCATATCAGATACTCTAGACATCTCAGGTCTAAGGATCCGAGAACGAACCGTTGTATGAGATTCAAGTCATGACTCTGTCCATGTGACAATCTCATGCGGGTCAACCAGTCACTCGTTCACAACGAGTACCCATGATTGTGATATGCATCCAATGCATCAATCACACCTCATGCTAGTCTTAATTCATCATAGTTCCCACAATGATAACTGACCAGGGAGTTTAGAATCATTCTATAATGATTCAAGGATGCCGAAATATAACAAACATGCCAATCATATAACGGGAATGTAATGCATTCATAAACCAATGAATCAATACAAAGTCAAAATGTCATATCACGGATCATCCTAGAGCATTACAACCAACATGACTCTCCTAAGACCACTAGAATCAGAGAGGTATATGAATGAATCGAACGCAATACAATTAGAAATATACGAGAGTTGTATAGGTATTGGATTATACGTCCTAAGATCAGTTAAAAGAATTAATTGAGCTACTTATACCAACAAAATATATTTAACTACCTTTCCGTTTGCTTATCGCAGAAAAATTTCAAAGTTAAGTATATTCGTTTTGGATTAATTTAAATATGGATGGCATAATGAAAAGTTTTTTTCATTATACACGTGAATAAGGACAAAATACGATGAAAAGTTTCGTGTTGGTGTATGAGAAAAGTTTCAACGTTTGTTACATAATATATTAACCATAGTTAACTAAACTATATTTATAATAATTTTATTAAAAATAAAATAAAATTTTAAAAATCATATATATATTTTTTAAAATATAGATCAATTTAATATTATTATTATAATCTAAATTTATAATAATATAATTTTTAAAATAATTTTAGGGTGATAAATTGTAACACCCCGAATTTCGGTAAAAGGATTAAAGAAATATAAACCGAAATTAACTATGCTTGATCAATGGAAATGAGATGATTAAGCGTTAAGTCCTTAAATTTCGTTAACAGGATTAACGAGGAATATACCATGACATGAAGCCGCTCGGACGAATCGGTTTAACGTGGAAGACCACGCCGAAACGAAGAAGAGAAAAGGAGAAAATTGGCCAGACCGTCCGGTCTACATCCAGACCATTAGGTCTAGAGGAGCCAGTCCGTCCGGTCCGCACTTCCAGACCGTCCGATCTGACGAGGCGAGCTCAATTCACGCACCGCCTCTTCTTCTGCAGAGTCACCGCCGCAATTCGAGGTTTCTCCGGCAAGTGACACCTCCTGCTTGATCCAAGAGCGGCCCAACCTCCTCTGCACGAGCTTCATTCTCTCACTCTGCTCACACTCAGCCCACAACTCGCTCTCACCCTCTCCCTTGTGTTCTTGCGAGCTCAGACCGAGAACCCCCAAATCGGAGCTCATTTCACGTGAAAATCGACGGAAAAATTCAGTAATCAACTCTAGGAAACCCCAGAAACAAACTCCAGGGCTCAAAATCAACCGAGGTGAGTATTTCAGATTAAATTTGAAAATGATAATCAAATTGAAAATGGAGAATTATGTTCTTTGAGTGCAATTCATGCATGTTTGAGCTTAGATTTGAGTTCCTAATGTTCTCTAGATCGTTTTGAGCTATAGTTTGTTGAATTTAGTGCGAAAACATGGAACTCGGGATTTCTCGGAGCATTAGACCCGACGGACCACTAGTGGACCGTCCGTTCTAGGGTTTGCAGGGTCTCAGGGAAGAAGATGAAGTCCAGACCGTCCTTCCATAACCTTCGACCGTCCGTTCCAGTTGGTTCCAGACCGAAGGGACCAGGCGACGTGAACCATCCGTTCCGCAGACCGTCCGTTCTAGGTCTCTGTTACCTCGTTTTGGCTCGGATCGTCGGATCGAACAAGATCCGATGCAACTGACCCTCATACTCGACCTACCTTGACCTGTTTCTTACCCGAACCTCACGAAACTTGAATGAAACCATTCTACGGTAAGTAAAATCCTCTGGACGAGCTGAATTGGTAATCAGATCTAAATTAATACCCCTATATACGTATTATATATATAGATTCTTTCTTAAACCCTCAAATAATTGAACTTTAGCTTGTAAATCAATATGTAGTTCAAACAAAATTAACATATACTATCCTTAGATTTAGATTTAGATGATCTAAGAAATCTAGATGAATATCTATCTATCTTCAGACTCAACCCGGATTCCAGATTACTAAGGAGTTTTTCCATCCTTAACGATTGAGCGTCTTGGTTTACAAAGTTTGAATCTTTTTATGATAAACCCTTGTTTATCAAGACGAACATTAGTCAAATCTACCAATCACTGAAGCCCATCCGATCAATTCCGACATTTTTTTGCACATTCGACAACATCCATCAACCTTATGATCCAATCTAGAATCATAGCATAGAAGATATCACAAGAACAATTTGCTGGATCTTTAGCTACTGCTTACATGTTCTTCATCTTCATGATCTCTAGCTTGATCTGTGTTATCTCCATATGGGCTTTCAAGAACTGCATTCTCTGCGACTCGATCTCCTTCAAGAACTTCATCCGCTCCTTCTCCATCTCCGCCGTTTGTTTCAGCTTCTCTCTCTCCGCCTTCTCATATACTTCAATGAACCTCAGAGTCGCCCTCGCCAATTCTGTCATTTCTCTCCCTCCTCCCATCTTATCTATCTTAAACCGCTTCTCCGGCGGCAACATCAGCGGCGGAGGCAGACTATCTTCGGAGTCGCCAGAGGTCTCAGAGTCAGATTCCGACCTGAACTGTCGTGGCGTTGATTTACTACACCTTTTCACAAGGGCTTGTTGCTCCATCTGGCGTTGGTACAGATTCGAACGACTGTTCGTATGGATTCCCATTGGAACCTTCTGGAAGGACTCTCCTCTACGACGGCCACAACCGCTGCTTGGGAAATTCGCGGTGGCTCCGATTAATCGGTCAAGCTTCTCGAAGAAGACCCAACTGCTGGGGCCACCACCGGCGGCCTTTCTCGTCTTCTCTTGCTTATACCTCTTCTTCACCGTATCGATCCTGTTCTTACACTGTACATTGGTCTTCCCATACTCACCGAAACCCGCCATGCTCACGATCTCTACCACTTCTCTCCAGTGCTCATACTTCAGATTCCCTCTGCTCAGGAACCTCTCCCCCCAAGCATCGATCAGCACCGCTGTCGCTGCTTCACTTCAGCAATCCTCTCTCCCTCCGCCGCAACCAGAGGCTATGACATTACCGGTATTCCATCCTCCTCCGACCTCCGCCTCCGCCTGGGCGAGAGGCGTCAACGCCGAAACATCTGGTAAATGGAAGGTCGCCGGAGGAATCTCGTCGTCTTCTTCCATGGACGTAGCGAGTCGCCGGATTCAAGAGACCGGAGAATAAGGAGATTAGGGATAGGGTTCTTGATCTGGATCGAGATCGGAACAAGATTCGAAGAGGAGGAGGCTCCGTCATCGGAGAGAGGATAAAGTTGCCGGCTGCGCGAATCAGAATGCACGTAACTGACGACGGAGGGAATTTACCAAAACGCCCCCCGCGCTCCTTATAAACTATTAGTTGGAATTTTGAATATTTTTGCCTATGTAAATAAAAAAATTAAGATAAACAAATTGGTCGCAACATTTTTAATTTCCAAGTTGATGTGGATTTTTATAAATCAGTTTATTATAGATACCATAATGTATTCATTTGCATTATTGATTTAAAAGCCTAAAGACAAACCACGTAAAAAGGGATTATTTATTACACTCGTATATATATATATATATATTCACTTCAAACCAAATGCACATCCCAAAAGATGAGCCTTTTTATTTATTCTTCATACATAACACCGAACATCATTTATTGGTTTCAACATTCTAACACCTATTTATCATCATCACATGATAAAAGAGTCGACCCCTTCAACATGGTTCTCGCATCCAAATTCCATGGTACCCATGCCATAGATATCATGGGTTATGGCATCAGATTTGCTGTCCATATCCGTACGGAAAACGACCGGAATGTCCGAAGGAAGTGACATAAGCTCCCGGAGGTTGTGCGGTCCGACAACTTCGGGGGTGGCTCCCCACATGAGATGGGCAATTTGGGAGTTGGCTTCTTACGTCAAGTGCTTGCCGTCGAAGAATATGTGGGCTTGTGGCTTGGCACATAGGCTCTTGGCCGTGCAGCCGCTCCCGTTGTAAGGTCCGTGTCGCAACAAGCTGCGTTTCCTGCTGTAAATGCTGCAGTAAAAAACACACAAGAAATGGATATAGATCATAGTTTAGGACAGTTTTACCTATAAAAAAACTGAACTTCGGGACTCAACTGATCGATGGATCGGGTACCCGAGTACTAGTATATAAGATGACAACGGTTATAACGTTTCGAGTACTTAACTCGGGTAAACGCTTAACATGTATATGATATTTAATTTGAAGAAATCGAAATTTCATATTAAAATTTGGGTTCGAATATCATGAATATTCGAAAGTTATATCTCGTAGATCTGAAACGTTCGGATAACCCGGAAATTGCATGTATCTAACCCGTGCCGACCCCTGATTTAGGGTAAAGGGTCATCTTGGTGCGCAGTTAAGAAGAAAAAGAAAAGCATGTACCGTAAGTGTTGGGGAGGGCAACTCGGTTATGGATGGAGATGAAGAAATCGTAGAAGGAGAACTGGAAACCCTTGAGCTCGAGTGCGAGTTTATTCAACAGCTGAAGGAGCTTCTTGTTGTGCAAAGCTACCATTTCCGACGGAAAATTCACGCACTTATCTCTCCCTTCTCCGAGCTCTTGTTTCGTGTTCGGTAAGCAACCCAAAGGCACCAGGTTCTGGAAGGCGAATTTCCTTCCTCCGGATCCATATACGCCTTTGAAAAACCAAACCCCGATTCATAAAAAAAAAACATCATTCCTCGAAGAAAATCAAGAACAACAGAAGATTCATCAAAGATTATACCTTTATTGATAGATTCTACTCCACAGCGAAAATCAAGAACAGGGTATCGATAGATTCATCAAAGTTTTTACATTAATCGTTTGAGTCTATCAAAAACATCATTCCTCGAAGAAAATCAAGAATAGGGTATCGACAGATTCATCAAAGTTTTTACCTTTACCGATTGACTCTTCAAAGAAAAGCAAGAACATGGTAAAGAGAGATATATTCATCAAAAATTTTACCTTTATGGATGAGTCTATAGCAGAGATCACTTGATCCACAAAAGCATGCTTCTGATCATTAGAGGGGCTAAGGTTGTTCTTGGCGAAGTCAAGGTAGTCCTCGCCGCCAATGTAGAACAAGTAGATAACTTGAGATAGTTCTTTGTCACTCCATTTCTCCTTGTTTTCATGGAATTTCATCACTTGCTCTTCCAATTTCATCTGAATAAACATACCAAAGGACCTTCAATCATTAGTGTCCCCGATTCCCGCACTCTCACAAGATATCATTGACAGTAACTAAATTGAAATTCTGATGTTCAATCCAAATCACGACTTAGTTTGGGGTGTTCTCTCTTTTGAGCTGAATCTTAACGGTGGAATCTTACCGTCTCCAGTGGAGAGCCGAGGACGGTGGCTCCGGCGACAGCGAAGCTCGCTCCGTGAGAGAAATCGGACTTGGAATCGAGAATCGGAGATATCCGACGAATGCCCATGAACTCAGCTGCCAAAAACAAAAACAAAAGTTTCAATTTTTAGGTTTCTCAGATCGTTCCCAAAATCGACCCAATTTCTCTGAGATTCGTCATAGTAGCTCACCCAGATAGTCCGGCACGACAAGCCCATCGGACCACCGCCTGGTGGCACTGCGAATTGCGACTCCGTAGGGATGAGCATTCGCCGGAACTAAGTTTCCGGCGAGGAACTGTTTGTTTCCGACGTCATAGAAATCATCGCCGAAGATAAACAGAGTCTGGGCTCGGGACGTGGTTGGTAGGTGAAGAAGAGAGACAATGAAAAGTATGAGGGAGAAGAAGCGGGAGTTTGAGTGCGCCATTGGAGAGAGAGAGAGAGAGAGGGGCTGGAGGGGGGAGCTCTGTTTTGAAGCTCTGAAGACGATACTTGATTATGGTGAGTACGCAGGTGACTGTCTGCATGGATTATTGGGAGGAAACAATATTAAAAAAAATACTATATTTACAAAAAATTATATTTAAATATCATTTTTGCATCTTTTCTGATTACAAAAAATAATTTCTTACCCAATAAACCAATAGATCATAGTAAAAGAAACCAACTTCTCAATATTTGACTATTATAAAACTCTTTTTTATCCCAAAATAAAATTTCATTTTATGGCGCCTCGAAAAATTACAAAACAATTTTTTTTATAATCTGAAAGTTTACCGGTTCTTTAGTCTGATTATATTTTTCAAAGAATCGAGGAAGTCCATGTGAATATCCCTTTCCAAATGATGACTCGAACCCGGATAAAAATGAATTTTACTTCTTTTCTTATCAGTTGAGTCACCTAATCTTAAATAATTTTTTTATTTGACCTGTATATCTACATTAGTACATATAATTAAAATATTATACTCACATTTTAAAAAAATTATATATTTCCAACAATCAATAAATATATAAACAATCAAAACTAATATCAAAATAAATATAAATATATACATACATAGATATATATATATATATGTGTGCATATGTATTACATATATACATACATATACATATGTATAATATTCATATACATATATGATATATATAAATATATTTGTATAATATATATATTGTGACGCCCGTAACCCGTTTTCCGCTCCCGAGTTGCGCCATATGGACACTCAAACCATATATTAAAATAGCGGGAATTTAAAAACATTTTATTTTTATACATACGCAGCGGAAACAAGTATATGTTTAACAACCCACATACAGTAGTATACACACCAACATAAAGACGGTGAACCCGATATAATACAAAGTACAGTCACCATCAACAACAAAACATCACAAGACCGAGAAAGAGAAAAGTACATGATCCGGAAACTCCTCACACGTCACCAGTACCCTCGTCCTGCCGCTGCCAAAACTGCTTCGAGCCTGAAACGTTGCATAACAACGTCCATAAGCTATATGTTTAGTGAGTACTTCGGGTTAAACCTGAAGATCATACTCAAATTGCAAATGGCCAAGTACAACCAATAGTATACACACAGTAGATATAAGTGTATACATATATACACACCACATGTCATCAAACACAGTTCACTCAATTGCACGAGTAATCACCTATCAAACACACTCAGTCCGAAAGACAAGCTATCGGACACAACCGTCAAATCCTCTCTATGTGTATCACACACATAGGACACCGCAAGGATCTGGTAACACCAGATCAGGACATTTATACCAGTCATAGCTCGACCCATCGGGTCTCTCAGTAACATCAGTACCGTCAAATCATCTCCACGTGTGCATCACACCCGTGGGTAAGGACTCTCCATGTGCAACCCACATCCCCCGCTCTCCTCGGCAAATGCCGGAACAATAAAAACACGTCACCCAGTTCCCTACTCCATAAAACATAACATATCAACCATCCCCTTCGATATCGATGTCACCTCTTGATACCAGAGCGCCAGGTGCCTCCTCCAGGCCACCACCGACTATGTCGAGCGAAGTCAGTACACAACTGACAACCTCTCACCGGCCGTCCGCCATGGAAAAGCTCATCAGACCCGAGCTCAGGTCTTTCAGAGTCTTTCCGCACAACCTCATCGGGAGAATCGCTCAATCCCGAGTCATGGGTAAATGTGTTGCTAGTCTCTGCCGGGAGAATCACTCAATCCCGAACCCGTTCCATAGCTAGTGGAATGTTGGCGCGGTTACAGAGTAACCGTAGGGTTTCCTCAACCCCGTGATAGCCGAATCACTCAAGACTATCACGTGTATCATCGGCTCCAAGCTATGCCCGTAGGCAACCAATCACAATCATGCCTCCTCAATATGAAACCTGACCCGGGTCGAAGATCACAAAGAGGAGATCTCAAACAATGCAACCGTCGGGATATCACGTCACCCGCTACAATCACACGCTCAACCCTATCCCGGCCCTCCGGAATAAAGTCTCACGCCATGCCAACTACCCGATTCCCCAATCACACACACGCATATATTATTATACTTTTAATCATATATACATACGTCCTTACTTATCCTTTTGGTATATCGTTTCCATTACGTTCATTCTATTCTTTTATCCTCCGGTCCGATCAAATTGGGTTCCGACCATCTCGGATTACCAATTCATCTTGTTCCAAAGGTTTTCTTACCGTAGATCGGTTTCATTCGAGTTTTGTGAGATTCGGGTAGGAAACAAGTCAAGGTTGAT